ACACCCAAACCAGATCAAACATGCAGGCATGTGGTTACTTATAAGGTAGAACTTGCTATTACAGATATCCACTGCACTACTTTGGCCATACTTGCAGGACACCAGTCTGGTTTCCCATGTGGTACAGCAAAAGACTTGTAGACAGCACTAGTCCAGAATCTTCTCACTGAATTTCACTGCATAGTGTGCATTGATATTTGAGTTTACTGAGCCCATAATAAGGGTACTAAACATTCTAATTATTCAAATAAGGATATAGGTGCCGCATTTCATTCTGCAAGTTACAGAATACAGCTGTCCAATATTTCTTTTTCCAAAGTCAAAACAATGCAAGATGTGATGTTATAATTTAGAGTCATAACAAAACAAATAAATATAATGGCTGCTGAGTCTGCAGTAAGTAATTAATATCAAGCCAGTAAAAAAAACAATACATAAAGAAACGACTTTGATTGATTTGACTTCACTTGGATTTAAAAAAAAATAAAAATCTGTTGTCTTTAAAAATCAGATTTTTTTTTTTTTGCAGACTTTCCTAATTTCATTTACATTTTAAAAGATATTTCTTCTATCTCCAGCAGTATCTGTTCTCCACTGTGAAAAACATATTCTCTTTCGAGTTTACATATACCTCACAACTGATGGAAGAGAACCTCTCCTCTTCAACTTAAGTCTTTGCTGAAATAATGAAGAGCATTTAGTAAGTTTGATAAGGAACAAGGATCAAGGAGGCTGTTTTCCTTGTTTTCACAGGAAGTTTACATAAAACAGGGAAATTAACACAGATTTACAAGTCTTAACTACAAATCATCAGACAGCCTTTCCCTTAGATGCTGATCACAGGACACCCACCCTTTACTTTTCCCATCTAAGCAAAGAACAGGCAGGTAAGTCCTGCTGAATGGTCTCCAAATGGGGAGAAAAAAAAACAAATGTTCATGCTAGCTGCAGGAGCCACCTCCTATTATACTTTCTCCTTGGGTTGCTTCATAGCAGCATCTTGCTTCCTGAAGTCCAAGATCTCACTCACTCACTGCTTTTCCCATGAGACCCATACTATGTGCCTCTCACTTTGTTTCTGCAACCTCTGTTCCTTCCTCCATAGCTCCAATTCTGCTCTAGTTTGTCTTTTCTCAAAATGTAAAAGGACTTACGTAGTCACTCTGCTCAGATATCTAGAAAACTTAAGTATTAGACCAATAATGTCTATGGTACAAATATCAGAGCTACTATTCTAATATATGGATGTCATTTAGAACCTTTCCACCAAGTACATTGTATCAGCACCTACAGAACTAGGCCTGCAGCTACTTTGTCTCTGCTTTGGTTCATGTCAAAGTCTTCATACAATTTACATCTACAGAAGACTTGATAGCTCTAGACAACATTTTAAGCTAAAGAGGCTTCCAGAATTGTTGCCCTCAGTATTTTAAACGGTACGACACAAACAAGAGAATCAAAATAGCCTGTGAATTTAATCATTTCATAATGTTTATATTCCACTGCAAATACAATTCAGTTGTCTTGGTGATTTCAACTATCTTTTGCTGTCACAAGTGCTTTCAGATTCTTTAATTTAGTCAGCTCTACCAGCTAGCTAACAAAATGATTCTCAGTGAAATCAAAGATTTTTGGTAAATTTCTAGAAGGCAAAACCATGAGGTTTGGGATAGCAGTGCACTACTCAAGTTCAGCCACAGTTTATCAGGGCACAGGAGGCATTTCACAAACTGTCTATTGCTATACTGCTGGCTTTGCAGTTTTACAATAGACTAAGTACTCTATGGCTGTGTGCTAAATGAGAAGTGCAACATAACACATCCTGAGGAGGGTTACAATACCTCGTTCGAGAATAGAACTATCATTTTTTCCATCTCAAGTGACTGCTGAGTAACACTCCTTCATGTCACTCAGCACACATGCAGCAGTGGCACTGTAAAGTGCATTGAACAATGGGGAGAAGTATATCCAATAACAACATCCATTATTGCTTCTGTACATAAGCAAATCAGCTTTCCTCAGCACCATCTGCTGGACATCAGCAGATGCTGGAGGCCATCAGTAAGAAGACCCACTTTTCTGTAAGTTTTTTAAATCATCCTCTAAAATGAAAGAGTTTATTTTTCCCCAAGCAAAATCTCTATGGAAAGATAAAGTTCTTATTAAATGTCAGTCGGAGGGGTTTGTTGGTGGTAGTTTTTGTTTGTTCAAATGCACAGCACTTTAGCAATATCTAACTAACAACTTTTCAATTCCCAACACTTGTCTACATCTTTTTCTCAGAGGAGTTAAATATACAATGAATTCACTCCTCTTGTAGATGAGGATACTCTCCTGGCATAGTAGATCTTTGCTACACACGTTCTTATCCCAGATTGTTTCTAGAAAGAGTTAGCTGAAAATATACACAAAAGAAAAAGGGAAAAGACAAGGAGGTGTTCCAGACAGAGTCCTTAAACAGTGCCATGTTCCATATTTTGAAAGGAGTCAAAGAAACTATTAAATAGAGCCTACAGAAAGCAGCAATGTGTTCATCTAATCTGACTCTGATCTGTAAGTTCTTTACAAAGAGAGTGGTGAGGTGCTGGAACAGGCTGCCCAGAGAGGCTGTGGATGCCCCATCCCTGGAGGTGTTCAAGGCCAGATTGGATGGGGCCCTGGGCAGCCTGGTCTAGTATTAAATGCTTGAGTAGCGCACAGCAGTATGCATTCCCTTTTTGTACAGAAGCTCTGCGATGCAGTACGCCAAAAGCAGTTTGGTTGAGGGGTTGCTAATGACTGGGTTTACTTTTGTCGGAAACTGTTGACTCATAAAAGAGCAAAACTTTTCATGAAACAGTACCAGGCATAAAGCAAATTTCATGAGGAAAAGTGTAATTTCCAGTTAAAACCATAGAGACAGAATATCAGACATAGAGAAGCAAAGTAACAGAAAAATTCAGTACTTAGGGCACTTATAGAATCACCAAGGTTGAAACAGACCTCCATGGTCATCCAGTTCAACCATCCACCTACCATCAATATTTCCCCACTAAACCATGTCCCTTCATACTACTTCCATAACACAAGGGAGTTTCACGTTTCCCTTCCCCTTGTCCCTTATCAGTACTTACACTGGCATTAAGGTGACTTCCATATCAGTTTCCTGGCCTTATTGTTGGGTACTCTGGGGCTGTTCTCTTTTGTGCAGCATTTCCATCCTTGGAAGCAGCTAAAACCCACTGGGCCTTGATGTGAAATGGTCCCACAGTCCTGTTGTCACAGAATGTCCATTTACTACGGACACTGGGTTCAATGAGATATTAAACCACCTTCTTCAGTGAATGTTTCTTTAAAGAAAATGAAATTACTTCAAAAAGTTTATAGAAAAAAATATGCCAGAGAAGCCAATAATACAGTGGACCTTGACACTCATCCTGAACAAGGAAGATTCAGATTCAAGTCTTTATTCTTGATATCTTGATTTTCCTCTTCCCTCCTTTCTCTTTACTGCCACTTTTTAAGAACCATAAAGGTAACGGGCTTGGTTTTATCCCAGTATGGAACATTTTCCCCTCTTCCCCTTCAATAAAGAAGTATATTGTTTTTATGCCAAGTCCTACTTTCAGCAGTTTTGTTTGAATAGAGCAATACTGCACTTGCTCCACTTGCTCCAAGTCCCTGAGGTAAAAGGCACAGGAAAATCTCTTAACCAATATTTTAATATTGTACTCAAATATCTGAGTGCAGGAAATTTTACACTTTCAGTTGCAAAATGAAGGCTCAGGTTTGAATCTTGCACTCTAAGTCCATTCCCTCTAAGTCCAGGTCTGTGCTGGTTTCCATTAGCACATTCATTCTCAGTGATTTTTACAAGTACAGAAAATACTTGTAAGACAGGCAACATTACAATTATGATTTCAACAGCAAATAAATAAATACTCAATGCCTCACCTATCCTCATCTATCATTTATGTTTTGAATAAAGCAAATTGAATTATTTGGAGCTGGAATTTCAGGTAACCACCTCTATCTTGGAAGTCTTGTGCATTTAAGCAAAAGGTATTTGTTTTTCCCTGGGTGCTTATCTTGTTCCAAATGATGGATTTAAAAAAAAAAAAAAAAAAAGCAGCTGCAATGCCTGCTAGAAAGGTTTTGTGCCTTTAACTGATTCTTAGCTTCCGCAGGTTTAATTATGATTAACTATGTGATTTATGCCTTCTTAAAGTGCATAACTCTCTCCTGACAGTTTCACGATCAGCTGCAGGGTCAAGGAGGAACCTCATCTGCTGGCTTATTGCAAGTAAGATAAGCTATGAATGGTCTAAAGTTCTCCTTTTATATAGTGGGAGCCAACTTCTGGTAGGCAGTAATAAAGGGGAGAAAAGAAAAACTATACAGCAGCTGAAAAAAACTATGATTTTATTTTGTCACCAGTGCAAATAGAAACCGATTCTTGAAACATAATTATTTGGAAAGCAAGTGTGAAAAATCCTTCATACACCATTGTACAGAACACTGTGTTAGATGGAGCACATTAATATTAACTGACTAGGTGAGGCACAAACAATATTTCCTCTTCTGAATACATTATACAACATATTTTAGAAAAGATTTTATTTTAACAAGGATAATTATCTTTAATGTTTCATATGAATTCTGGAAACTCAGTTTGTGGTAATTCTGGCCCAAATTTCTTGCTGCAGAAGTATTCATAAGTGAAGTGGCTAGAACTATAGAAATAGCCTCAATTACGAGAATTATTTTGGCTAAATTGATTAATTAATTTGTAAATTCATGTTTCTTGATATACTTAAGCAGTAGAAGTTGTAAAATGACATAAAAATTGTGACTATTTGCTTCCAGATTGTGGAAGAACTAAAGAGAGCCATATAAGCTTATACCACATTAATGCTAAGAAATGGTAGCATTTACCCTTCTATAGAGTGCAGTCATTCATGCATAAATTTCATCATAAAATTCAAAATGTGCTTGGATAAAAGAAAAAAGAGATTTTTGAATTATTCTTCCCACTAGTCTGGACCATAATCTTTCAAAAGGAGCATGTTATAGTGTATTATTATATTCACTGATAGTATAATAACTTGAATTCCTACAGTATTTAGTTTGCTGAGGCATCCATAAGTGTTTCTAAACATATGTAGACAGCAGATTTATCTTTTTCACTCCCATTTATGACAAAAAGGAGGAAGAACAATACTAAAAGATCATAACCACATGGAAATAAATGCCATCTCAGGACTATAGTCTGGCACTGGATACTACAGGTGCTAGCAGCGCATTCCTACGTTGTGCAAGCACTGACCCACATTTTAAACCTAGCTCTGTTATTTCGAGTGAATGATGCCCAAAAATCTAAGTTAGAGAGTATTTGGATTTCCTATGGGCATAGTCCTGAAATGAATGGTATGGTAAAATGGTAACCTTGTTTGCTTTCACTGCTGCACTAGAAATGGGCAAAAAACTTATTTCTGCTGCCCTAGAACTAAGAGTGATTAATGAAGGCTGGAAATTAGGCAGTATCTTTCATTAGGAGTATTTTAAATAGAAGTAAACAGTACGGAAAATAAATGTCTTATCAACATTCACCTATGTAATTTAAGATTACATTAATGTAACTGCTAATTGCACATTGCTTTGAGGATTTTGCTATGTGAGTTCAACAGGTTTGGGTTTTTTTGTTTGTTTTTAAGATTGCATCTTCTCAAAAGATTATCACTTCTGGAAGGAATAAGATAAAGAACAAGCAGCTCTTCAGTTTGGTCACAAACATAGTGCCTTGAACAAGAATTTGAGTAGGAAATTAAAGGAAGGATGAAATAAACAAAAATCAACACCACCCAATACCAAAAAACACTATGGAGTATTATCCATGGAATAGAAGCGTACATCAGATACTCTGTATTAAAAGAAGAGCATATCCAAAATACATTCAATAAACTACTCTTAGCCAAAGAGCTTATGAAGCATCTGAAGACAATAGAAAGCCTACTGATGTGATTATAGCAGACTTATAGCAGTCATTGTTAAAGACACTTATTCATATAAGGTTCAGATATTTCACTATGCACAAATTAGTAGATGGAAAAAAATGTGTTTCAGTACCATAAGATGAACTATTAAAGTAGATACCAATCATAACATGCATACAGGGAAAGCAAAGATGTTGAAAGCAAAAATTGAATATCCATAAGAAATACTATACTTCTTTGGTTCATCTTAACTGAGTAATTGGATGCCATAATCACACAGAATCACAAGGGTAGGGAGAGACCTCAAGAGATCAAGTCCAACTTCCCCGCTAAAGCAGGTTCCCTACAATAGGTTGCATGTGTAGGTGTTCAGACAGGTCTTGAATATTTCCATAGAAGAAGACTCCACAGTCTCCTTGGACAATCTGTTTCAGAGCTCCATCATCCTTACTGTAAAGCAGTTCTTCCACACGCTAGTACAGAACATCTTTACATAGAAGTTTTAGGCATATGCCCAGGAAGAGACCATTCAACTAGTGCAAATATTAATCCAAGACAAAATATGTTTCCCAATGAACAGCAAATTTAATAATAATAATTAAAAAAAAAGACCAAAAAACAATCCACAATCCACAGCAGTTATAAAGAGGGGGTGAGGAAGAAAAGTTTATACAGTACTACTACTACTAAGTATCCTTCCATCTGACAGCTGCAGCTCAACTTATTTTCTGAACCTGATGTGATTGAAGTGTTCTGAATACATATGCAGGCTCCCCTTGGTGCACAAATTTCCCAGAGCCACATCCTTTCTGAAGAAATTCCACAAGTCTGCTCTCAATTTTCTGAGAAAAAAAAAAAAAAATCATCCCATATTCTTCTGAGCTTGTCTCCAACTAGGTCCACTCGGTTGAAAAAGATGGTAAACTACCCAAGACCTCATTTAATACCAACACTGACATCATGGCTATCCCCTCCAAAACACTTTCAAGGTGGAGAAGTCTAAATTACTTAGGCAGTAGGGATGATAATTGCATAGCATCTGTATGAGAATGCTTTTTTTTTTTTTTTTAAACCCACTCTAGTTCTATGATGCGGTGGCTCAGTAAAAATAGCTCTGTTTCGACAAGCTATGAATTCTGTATCCCTGATATGCCATTGCTGCCCAAAGGAAGCTTCATCAATAAAGGAAGTGCTCAAATAGAATAGAAAATGTTCAAGTGTACAGACTTAACAAGCCAAAATGAAAATGAAAAAAAAAGTCATCCAGCATCCTTCCTTCTTATTTCTGGTTTATAAATTTACTCCAGATCTCTGGAGGTATTTTTCTATAGATTACTTTGAAGGAATTGTTTATCAGAGATATTTCACTAAATACTTACAGATTAACAACATTCTGGTTGAGCTACATTAACTTACATATCCTTAAACAAGAAGCACAGAACAATGTTTCTTGTGATTGCTGATACTTGTGGGATCTGTTTGAATCTATTGGGCTAAATGATTTAATATATATTGAACAACCCTTATTTTAAAGACTGATGAAATAGCAGGACAAAGCCCTCCTATTAGTTCCTGACACTAATTAAATTAGTTCCTGGCACATTAAACAGAAAAGCACACCTCACAATGAGTAACACACATGTATTTATGGGAACAGCAATACACAGTATTCCAGGAACGTATGCCACAGAGTCACATTAATAAACACTATTATGTCAACTCAGCTTGAAGTTTCACAGAAGCTATAGAGAACTACCAAAATATCTGCCTATTGTCTTTGTGCAAAGAACAAACTAATACCAGTCACTGTCACTCTGCAAACACAAACCATACTCTACTACAGTTTGGCTAGTGAAGGAGTCCAGGATCAATATGGTATCACTCTTGTGGTTTCCCAACAATAATTCTTGTTTATATATATATATAAAAAAAAACAAAAAAACAAAAAAACAAAAAAAAAAAAACAAAAAAAAAAACCAAAAAACAAAACACACCCAAAAACCAGCAGATTAAATCAAAAGGAATTGAAGCCAAGCCCTTTCATACAGAACTGAAAGAAACATCAAAAAAACAGCTGTCAGTAGTATATAAAAAAAATTTACCAAGACTTCAGAGAAAAACAGTAGGACCAGCAAGCATACAAGTTACTACAGCCCCATTTAAAGTACAGTCTAGCCTGTAGGGCAGGAGTTGGGGAGAAAGGATTATACACAGAAAAGTTTTTAAAGATAAAGTCAGTGGAAGCAGAAGGCTAAATTACTCTCCTTATTTAGAGGAAGACTATGATGGACCTAAGAATGAAAGCTAACATTATTTTTCATTATTACTTTTGTTTCAACATGATTCATCCCTCCTGCTCCATTATACTTTAACAGCTGTATCAAAATCTGGTATCTGATAGGACCTATAGAAATAGTTTGTTATAAAGACATGTTGAGATCTTGCATATTTTCATAGCTACCAACAAGTTTCACTGTATTCCTTCAGCATACAAATATAAGAAAATTACATATTAAAATTTTAAGGAATTCCTCTTAAATAAGATATATAACCACACTCTACACCAAAACTCTTATTATAAATGAGACAGGTAATATCTACATTGGTAAAGTCTAGTGAACAATATTTACCATTACATACAACATTTCCAAACTAACTGGTTCAGCTAAAAGCTTCCAGGTTTTTGCCTTTTTTTTTTCCCCTCAGATTGATTTTTGTTGTTGCTGTAGCTAAATGAAAATGTAAGATTTCATCCAATACACTTCAATTAAAAAAAAAAAAAAAAGAGATTACCTACCCTTTTTAGAAGCTTACATTTTTCCAAGAAAAAAAATATTCTTATGCTTGAAGACAATAGCTCTTTACGTAGCTCTTTCATTCATTCACCAAAAATTTGCAATCCACACAAGCCTTTAAGTTTTTTGCAAAGCAGCTTCCTAAGGACTCCAGTACATGTTTTCCATCTGGGGGCACACCAATGAAATGCTGTTGATAGACCAAGCTTTATTCACCTCACCTGTATGCTCTGGATTTTTTGCAACTGCTTTTCTGGTCCTCATTCTGTTGCTGAATTAAGCTTGGTTTAAGTAGAGAGGAAAAAAAAAAAGGCAAAAGGCTGAAGTCAAAGTCTGAAACTGAAGAGAGGGGAAAAAAACAAAACAACAACAACAAAAATAACAACTAGTCAACCAACCAAAAAAAAAAAAACAAACCCTCATATGCTGGACATTAGGATGTAAATTTGAAAGCTAATCAGATCAAGAATAGGTCAGTAAAAAGACTGTCCTTGACACATATATGGCTGGGAACAATACTGGGGAAAGACTGAATGAAGGAAAGCTGGAATTTAGTAGATAAATTCCCAACTATAGTTATTCATTTTTAGTAAATATTAATTGAAACTGTAGCAAGTTTGGATCTAGTCCTGCAGAAGGAGCAAGGAAACAGTCTATTTAAAAGAAAATTAGAAAATTGTTCAGGTTAGCAAAAATGATTTTAAGGGATACATATGTAAGTACTTTGCTATTAAGGACTACATAAGCTATAGGACAATTTGAAATGTGAGTATATACTCACTAAAAGTAAATGTAAGCTATAAATTATTCAGTATTAAATGTTGAAAAGAATTTGAAACAGCCTTTCAAAGTGGAATAGATAGGATAAAAAAAAAGCAAAACGTACTTGAAGCTTTGATAACTGGACATCTCTGCAAGGCACAACAATTTGTAAAAAAAAAAAAAAAAAAAAAAAAAGACCTCTGTGAATATGCAGGAATAAAAAAGGGAAAAGGTAGAGGTGGAGTTATTGATTTCATCTAGCATGGCAGTTACATGCTATCGACCCCTGTTTGAAAAAGTATATTTACTTTATGGATCCAGAGAATGACTATAGGAATCAGTGAAGAGCAAGGTGGAAGCTCACAGCCTCTGAAGAATGGACTGTGGCAAGCAGAGATCGAAGATCTTCTAAGGTGGTACTCTGACAAGTTAAAGTTCGGACTTCCATAACAGGCCATGGTGGTTGTAGAGCTAGTGGTCCTCCAGAATTAAAGCATAAAGGCAAAGTAGGAGGAAAACTATGATAATAATTTCTGATGATATAATGCAGCTTGCAACATCTTCAAAACTTTTCTGGGAGTTTTTTTAGGAAAAAAAAATAAGAAAGTGAAATCTAACTCAGACCCAGGACAACTCAAATAAAGAGCAAAATAGAAGCAGAGGTTACTGATGCAGACTCGACTGAAACTGCACCTGACTGCCTCTTTTAAAATCCCAGCTGTAGCACTGAATTCAATTACTGTGAAAATAAGAACATAAAGTAGTATAAGTATTCATGAAAGTATAAACCTTCCAAATGCCTTAGAAGTCAAGCTTTTCTTTGTTACATTTGTTACAAATTCATTTTTTAATTGCCCAGTGAACAAACACTATTTTCTAGAGAAATTATTAATTTTTGTGGATGTTAAAATTCATTCATAATAGATAGGTTAAATATAGGTTAAACATTCCAGGGCTTTCATGTTATACCTCTAGACTGCATTATTGACTCTTAGCATGTACCTTTGTGCCATGTGTACATATATATTTGTTTTACAGCTAAGAACTGGGAATGGCTCCAATTTGAAACAAATGATTGTTTTTGTTCCAGAACTATGATAGGAAATATCTTAAACTTAGCAGCTATTGATTTAGATAGCAGCTTTATCTGCTGAAGAGATGAAGGAAACAGGAGTGGTTCCTAAGTGAGTAAATGTGAACTCTGTCCTGAAATCCACATATATTGAATACCCTTCCATATTTCCATTATCACAAAAAAAAATAAAATAAATAAATAAAATAAAATAAAATAAAATAAAAAAATTAGAGCATATCTCAACTCCTTCTGCTTTTTAAAGTATTCACATTCAGAGAAGTTCAATTAAATCACAATCATGCAACATGGCAACATATTTTATCCTAGGTCTTTGTGTTATTTAAAATTTATTAATACTGTTGACTGAAAATGCCACTGGTAATTCACATTGGTCCTGCACAAGGGAAAGAATGACCACACACATTAGAGCAGGTTAGGAGCTGACTTGGTGGAAAGGAGCTCAGCAGAGAAGCATCTGGGTGTCCTGGGGGACAAGAGGTTGGCCATGAGCCAGCAGTGTGCCCATATGGCCAAGAAGGCCAATTGCATCCTGGGGTACATTAAAAAACATGTGGCCAGCAGGTCGAGAGAAGTGATCCTCCCCTTCTACTCCGCATAAGTGAGGCATCAGTACATCTGGTGTACTGTGTTCATTTCTGGGCTCTTCAGTTCAATAAAAAAAGAGAACTTCTGGAGAGAGTCCAGCAGAAGGTCACAAAGCTGATTATTAGGGGCCTCACTTATGAGGAAAAGCAGAGAGACATGGGACTGTTCAGCCTAAAGAGAAGACTGAAAGGGGATCAAGCCTTCTAAGAATCTAAACAGCACAGGTCAAGCGATGGGGTCAGATTCTTTTCAGTGATGCCCATGATAAAACAAGGAACAATGGAAACAGAGAGAAACATAGGAAATTCCATCTGAACATGAGCAAAAATTTCTTCACTTTGAGGGTTACATTAACACTGGAACAGGCTGCCCAGGTATGTTGTGGAGTCTCCTTCTCTGGACATACACAAAACCTTACTGGCTACTTTCCTGTGCAACCTATTTGAGGAGACCTGTTTGAGGAGGGGAATAGGAATAGATGATCTCCAGAGGTCCATTCAAAGACATACAATTTTGAAATACTGTGTAGTATTTCTTTATTTATCCATCTATCTATCTACTGAAGATAAGTGCAATCCCTGCTAGTGCTTGCCTGGGGCCGGCTTCTTGCAGGGCTGCTGTGGGTCCAGGTCACTGCCAGCCCTCCTCTTATGGGGCTGCTGGGCCCTCGCAGGCGAGTGGCCAGGAGTGGAGGGGCTGCTGCCCTGGGCAGAAGGGCCTGATGCTGCCGCCTGCGCCGTCTCCTCACGGGGCTCCTCCCATTCTGTGCGGATGTGCGCAGCAGGGCTGTGACTGGGATCCCCACAGAGGACAGCCTCAGGTGTGCTGGGCTGCTCCTCTCTGTTGGCATTTTCATTGCTGCAGATGGGTCTAGGCCTTGATGTCAGGATCCCAGGTGGGGAGGCTGCGGGGCCAGAGGCGGCCATGGCGCTGTCCTCCTGCCCCCTGGCCGCAGGGCCCTCCTCCTGCCCTCCGGACACGTGGAAGCCCTGGAGGCCCCGCTGCCTGTGGGCCTCCTCGCCCCACCGGCTCACAATGGCGTCCACAAGGCCCCGGATGAGCGTCTGCGCTCGGTCCCCCAGGGCAGGCCGCAGCAGCTGGATCAGGGCCTCGCCGTCCAGCCCGATGTGACACAGGGCGTTCAGGATGAGGCTCTCCGCCGCCATTGCCTCCCACCACTGTGCCCCAAAGACGGCTCGCAGCTCCTGGCGCAGCCATGGCAGCACAGGGTCGAGCATCTCCCTTATGTCTGCACATGAAGCATTGCTCATATGAGGAAAGGATAAGAGACCTGGGACTCTTCAGCACAGAGAAGACAAGGGGGGGGGAAGGGGGGGGGAGAATCTTATTAATGCTTATAAATACAGTGCTGCCTAATCAGGGCTGCCCAGACCTGCAGCAGGAGACTGCCCACCATAGGCCCTTCCTCTGCCTTCACAGTGTCCTGATTAGGAAGCCATGACCTAGAATGCTTCAAATGGTTCTCCTGTCTATTTTATTAAACAGAAGTATGCTATCGGACTTCCACAGTCCTAAAAAGAGATAAGTAGCTTCTTGGGTATTCTCTCTGAAGCAACTCCCTGTGAGCCTTTCTCAGCACAGATTCTGGAACAAGTTGTTTTTTCCTTCTTTGTTTCATTTCTTGGAAGCCTTTCTTAGGAAAAATTTCTGTACCAACAATTGTTTTTCTTTTGGTAAAGACAGGATGTCTTGTAAAGCAAATCAAAGTCTATACTACAGCACCCTAAATATTTTTAAGACATATTAGAAATTAAAAACAAATTGCCATATGATTTGTTGTCAACATGCCTGGCATTTCATGACTATGATTTGGACATCATATTCATATTGAGTATTAAGTCTATATTAAAAAAAATACATAATGATACATTTCTTAATCCCCTGAAATTCTAGAAGGCTGTACTTATCCAATACCAAGACCTGGATCCACATTACTGGGAAGTCTTTAGTGAAAGGACGAACCATCAAGATGGTTCATAGAAGCCTGCCTTCTGAGAACAGGTGTTTTCTGTCTTTGCTGCATACACTTCTTGCATTTACTATTAGGCATGCGAGAGAAACTGTGATAGTTTACATCCTGCATAATCAGGAACCACTTTATGCAGGTACAGAAAGCACTTAAACTGTGTAGAGCTTGAAAGCTCTTTATTTCTTCTCCCTACATTTTTAATTACTAGTCATTAGTAATCCAGACACATTTATATTCATTTCAGTCAAGTATTTAGATGGGAATAGAGAGTTTCTTGAGCGTTTTTTATTAGCTTTTTTTTTTTTTTTTTAATTCAGATTGTGCCTCATGACCTATCATATTCTTCAGCAGTATTACTGATGCATACAGTGCTGCTCTGAATAGTAGAACATTCAACGGATCTTTATGGATTCTATGAGGAAATTGGCTGGAGGCTCATACACCAAACACAAGACTTTTGTATCTGATTACAACTCACATGGGCTGCCTACTTGGAAAGGAAAGACAATGTTAAGTCCCAAAACAAAGCAAGCTTAAGGTTTAGGGAGTTTCAGATTTTGCCTTTGCACAGACTCCTAGAATCAGTCTGAAAGTATGCTGATCTTTGCCTGAGCTCTTCCCTTTCACTTCTGCACAGATTTCTCAGGATGTAAATACCAGTTCTGAATTTACCTTGAAGAAACACAAGGAAAGACAACCTGTTAGTGTAGCTACAGAGACCTCCAGTGTAAAAGTTGAATGTACAATCTATAATAATGAGTAACTGTTTAATAAACAGCTTATGAAGGTATCTGCACAGGGAGCCCAGATTGACTCTTACTATTGGCAACTTTACAGTAAAAGGAAACACAGCAATGTTATCTAAAATTCACAAAGAGCATGAACTGATATGGATAATGGCAAATAGACTACAAAAATAATCTTTAGAAGATGTTATTAAAAGCCAGTGCTTTTGCACAGCCCATGAAATGTGAGAGACAGTGTTGTTTGCCATTCTCTTTCAATTGGACTATAATGGAAGCTACTTATTTTCTTACTCCTCCCCTCAGCATAAATAGCAGAGGTATCACCGAGGAAAAGCAGCTTACAAATGATGCTGGTAATCACAGGTTAGCCCTCATTGCTAAGAATAACTCAACATCTGAGAGGTGAGGAAAGCTGACAGCCTCTTCCATCCCCATAATCCAACATGAAAGAAAGCATGGCAAGAGAAAATGAGCAACAAGTATTTCTACTCTACATGGCTGAAAGGAACAGTGGCTCCCATTTTGTTCTTTGCTTTTCATAGGTGCTTTACCTTCCCTAGATACTTCAGCAAGCAGTATTCTGATACTGACATCTTACTTGTCCTCACTCTTGTCTTCCTGACATTAGAGGAAATTCTTAGTATCTCCATTTATTTATCTATCTATCTATCTATCTATCTATCTATCTATCTATCTATCTATCTATCTATCTATTTGTCTATTTACTTACTTACTTACTTAATTATTTTCCAGAGAGAAATATACAAACTGTAAGAGTAAGGTTGTTCTTTGGACTAAACT